TTGGTGGGTTAGGGGCTAGGTTTAGGACTAAGGTGTGAATTGAGGATGTGTTAGGTTTAGGGTTAGGTATGTACTGGTAATGGTTAGGTTATGGATAAAGGTCATGGTTAGGCTATAGAAATGAATGAAAAATGAATGGAAGTCAATGCAAAGGCCCCACAAAGATAGCAAAACAAACCTGTGTGTGTGTGTGTGTGTGTGTTTATAGCAAAGGAAAACACGAAGAACCAACAAAGTTCCTTTGTGGGCTGGTTGAAATGTAAATGTTAGTTTTCCTTCAGCCTGAAAATAAAAATAAAAAAATAACCATAGTGTAGTAATGTGATAAGCTAAAGCTACAAACAGAAGTTTGTTCACATTTCCTGGTCATACTGAGGAAATGTTAGACATACTGTTTTTTTTTTCCTGTTAATTTTAACCACAAGTGGAAAAACTGTTGATAGAGTTATAGCAAACAGAACATTCATGTTCTTAGACAACGAGCTACTTTGCCAGTAAGAGCTGTCCATCTCTCAACCTGAAGAAAGCTTTGAGAATAACCAGCTCACTGCTGAGTTCTTTAAAGACACATAACTGAGGAGAACCTGGCAAAGTTCTTAATGTGGCTGAAAATATAGTCCACAAAGTATTCACAGCTCACCCTTTTCCACACAACACTCTTTAATGACAACATAAAAAATGTAATTTTTAAATGTTTGCAACTTTATTATCCATCCATCCATTTTATTCCACTTATCTGGGGTTGAGTCGTGGGGATAGCAGCTTAAGTAGGGAGGTCCAGACTTCCCTCTCCCCAGCCACTTGGTCCAGCTCCTCCGGGGGAATCCCAAGGCGTTCCCAGGCCAGCTGAGAAACATAGTCCCTTCAGCGCGTCCTGTGTCTTCCTCTGGGTCTCCTCCTGGCTGCGAACCACTTCAGCGCACTTTATTAAAAAATAAAATCTAAGAAATCACATTTACATACGTATTCACAGCCTTGGCTAAATAATTTGATGATCCAGCTTTGGTAGCAATCACAGCCTCAAGTCTTTTTGAATATGATGCTTCAAGCTGAGCACACCTATCTTTAGGTAGTTTGTCCCATTTATCTTTGCAGTACTTCTCAAGCTCCATCAGGTTGGATGGGAGACATCTGTGCAGCCATTTTCAGATATCTCCAGCGATGTTCAATCAAGTTCAAGTCTGAACTCTGGCTTGGCCTCTCCAGGATCTTCACCAAGTGTTCCTGAAGCCATGTCTTTGAGATCTTGGCCCCTCCAGGACCACCACAGAGTGTTCCTGAAGCCACACCTTTGAGATCTTGGCCATGTACTTAGGGTCATTGTCTTGCTGAAAAATGAACCGTCGCCCCAGTCTGAGGTCAGGAGCTCTCTGGTGCATGTATTCATCCAAGATGTCTCTGTGCATTTCTGCATTCCTGACCAGTCTGCCAGTTCCTGCTGCTGAAAAACATCCCCATAGCATGATGCTGCCACCACCATGCTTCACCGTAGGGATGGTATTGGTCTGATGATAAGCGGTGCCTGGTTTTCACCAAACATGACGCCTGGCATTCATACCAAAGAGTTCAATCTTTGTATCATCAGACCAGAGAATTTTGTTTCTTGTGGTCTGAGAGTCCTTCAGGTGCCTTTTTAAACTCCAGACGTGCTGCCATGTGCCTTTTATTAAGGAGTGGCTTTTGTCTGGCCACTATACCATACAGACCTAATTGGTGGATTGCTGCAGAGATGGTTGTCCTTCTGTAAGGTTCCCCTCTCTCCACAGAGGAATGCTGGAGCTCTGACAGAGTGACCATCAGGTTTTTGGTAAACTCCCTGACTAAAGGGTCCCACAAACTTGGGTGGACTTCAAAAGCGGACACCCGCAAGGCATGTCAGCGCAAATATCAATTTTTATGACTGCATACACATACTCGGTGTGGCACAATAAACTGCCCGGTGATGGACTGTTTTGTATATGACACCAATGTATTAAATTCACCTTCTTCATCCATAGTCTAGTTTAATAGACTTTTTTTTTTTTTTTTTTTTTTTTTGCCAAGAGGCAAGTGATCTCTTCCTCCTTGCCCGTTGACGCCATGACTGAGATTGTGAGAAATGAAGGAATTTGTCACGAGAGTATTAAAATCAGGCCCGGCATGGCTGCGGGAGGCTCTGGAGATTTCCCGGTGGGCCGGTATTATGTGTGGGCTGCAGGGCCAGCGCTCCCTGTTTTTTTTTTTTTTAGAACTTTTTGTTAACAACCTTAAGGCCCTTCTCCCTCGATCGCTCAGCTTAAATGGCCAGCCAGCTCTAGGAAAAGTCCTGGTGGTTCCAAACTTCTTCCATTTATGAATGATGAAGGCCACTGACCTCATTGGGACCTTCAAAACAGCAATTTTTTTTTGTATCCTTCCCTAGATTTGAGCCTCAACACAATCCTGTCTCAGATGTCTACAGACTGTTCCTTTGACTTCATGCTCGATGTTTGTGCTCTGACATGCACTGTCAACTGTGGGATTTTCTTCTTCTTCTTCTAACAGGTGTGTGCCTTTCCAATTCAAGCCTAATCAGCTGAATTTTTCACAGGCGGACTCCATTATTTAAGTTGTAGAAACATCTCAAGGATGATCAGTGGAAACAGCATCTGAGCTCATTCAACATTTGATCTTCTCCAGGGCGGACATCTCCTCCTCTCCCTCTCTGCTTTGCTTTTGCTCTGTCCTGTCTGTGAAACTGCTTTAGAGCCTCTCTTCTACAAATCTTCCAAATTATAACTATGGACTTGGATTTGGTCAGTTGATTCCTCAACACAATTGATAACATTTCTTTGAAGACAGGCTTTAGGCTAGCCGATTTGTCCTGTTGGCACGCACGCAGCTGGATATATCATTGACTTGGAAGACTTGATGACGTGTCTATCTCTGCTGCCATCTGTGGATTTTAAGGATGCATTTATAATTGGATTTATGATAACTGGTTCCTGCTTTTTGGATTTGGTTGGTTCCTGATCTATCAACAATCAATGAAGTCATCAGCAGCAAATCTGGACCTGGGCAGACATAATCAGGAAAGTTCTGCCAGTCCCAAAAACAATCATGTTTATCTGAATTTGGCTCCTTGACTGGCCTTGACAGGCCATCTTTGTTAGGATTTGTGGTCGGAGCGAACCCAGAGTGCAGAACAGGGACTCAACTCGGCAGATAAACAAAAATAGGTTTTTAATGTTAAATGAAAAGTACAAAATAAACAAGCTGACGGGGCAGCAAACTTACATAAACAAGGAGGGAGGCACGGGGAACTCAGGAGACACGGGGAACTCGAGGAACCAGGAAGACAAAGAGAGACTCAGGAGACCCAAGGAAGCGTACCCAACGAAGACGACCCGACAAAGGACAAGACAGAATAGGATGACTTAAATACTGGGAGAAGACGAGACATGATGACAAACAGCTGGGACGAGACACAGGTGGCAACAATGGAAACTAATGAGGAGCACGAGGGAAACAGACACACCGGGCCACAGAAAAGTAACATCCTTACAGTCTTATCTCAACCTGCCTGGAAAGTTTTGTAAACCTGATGCTCTAACCCCTCCCTCCCCTCCTACTGAGGAATTTCCATGGACTTTTTAGAGGAGCCCAGCTGAATAAGCATTCTGTCATCATTTCAAGATTCTCTGGATTTGTCTCTGGTCGTCCTCGGCACCCCCTGAGTGTGTCCAGATCTCTCCAGAGGGAACAATTTGAACTGAGTGATGTATTCTGAACTCTGCAGTGCCTCTGTGTGTTGTCTCTGGACATGCTCACTGCCCTTGCATCCTCCGCCCACCCCACATAATGTCAGTGTCATTATGTGCTCGTGTGCAAGATTTTGTTTTCATTATCACACTGCTGACCTTCAAACAGAGGTGAAAAACATGTTAGGATTTTTTTTTGTCTCCAAACCCTATGTGTCATTTTTCAACACTTTTTATTGTCTGTCCAAACAGTTCTCACTTGTAAACGAGTCTTTGAGGCTCAATGTGACTTATCTGTTTAAATAAAGGTTGACTGAATTAATGAGCTCAATTTGGAGCTTCATGGAAAGGGCTGTGAATACTTACATAAATGTGACTTCTTAGTTTTCTATTTTTAATACATTTTCAAACATTTCAAAACACAATTGAGATTCATGCTCAATAATCTAGGAAGAAAAATCCAGCAATGTCAAGTCAAAGTTAAGGCGGGGGACATCCTGGGCTGACCTTAACAAAGTCAAGTCAGGTCCTCTGGACGATTTCTTTTTGTTGAAACATTTTGTCTTTCATCAAAAAGACCATCAGTCCGAGGAGCCACAACAAACTTATTCTTATAAATAGCACCTTCGCATAATGG